AAAGAAAGGATATACTTTGTAATAAATAAAACATATATCATTAAAGGTAAAATAGACAATTTTATAAAAGGCTTAAAAGGCTTGGTCAACAAGGCCAATTTGACAAATTCCCCGAACGAAAATGGGAAGAAGATAGACTGTGAAAGTTTGAAGAAAGAAGAGAAATGTTGCTTGTGTCAGATGGAAAATTAAAAACGGGAGAGCACATACACCAAGAAGCAGGGTGCCTTGTGTGCGAAGAGAAAGGAAAATGAAAAATATCCTCTTATATGACTCGGCTTAGGCTCAGCGTATTGCGCTGGAAAATGACTGGCTTACTTGGCCATTCGACTTATGAATAGTGCCATCAAAATTCACTCTTTTAATAACTATTAGTGAATGCAGGAGCGTTGTACGTGTGGTAAGTGATGTAGTGTAAACAAACATTCTTCGAATTGGCAGACTTTCTGTAGGTCTTCATGTTCCAAGGCTCGGAATAGGCACAATCCTTCAACGATGATTCATACTGTGTTTCGAAAAATTAATGTAATAGACAGACACATAACTATCATCAATGGATACACATGAATCGTAATTTTAGCATTTGTGTCAATATGTCTCTGCAATCTCAATTTTCTTTAATAGACAAAGATTCATGACATGCATCTAGTTAGGCAATGCAAAATAATCTCAATCAGTCATTAAGTACCTGAACAAAGTCCATATAGTCTATTCAATAAAGATGATCATCAAATAAGATAAGAATGTGTTCAACATTTTTATTTTTACCATCCTACACATATGTTCAGAATCATCATTAGCCATATTCCTTTTGAACGAGGCAGGCATTTTGTTGCCGGCATTACCACAAGTGAGTAAGGCATGATAGAAAATATATAATTTTTCTAGTTGAGATTAAGGCATGCCAAAGCCAGCACTCTGTTTAATCTGTCGGATGAGAGGAGGATGGAGAGGAAAAAATGGGCACTGATATCATTTAAAAAACATTGGGAGTAATTTTTGATTACTTTGACATTTAAAGCGCTCAACACCACTTACAATTACAAAAACCACCCAGTGGGCAAAAAATAGAAATGCATTTCGCAATTTGTGATCGTGTCTTCGTGCTAGACTTGAAATATATTTGTTCTCAATTTTTTTATTTGGATAAGAACATTTTATGGCTTAAAGAATGTTAGTTTTTTAAAAAGTTATCAAATCCTAATAACATTTAGTAAAATTATTTAAAACATGTGTTTGCATTCAATGGTTACTCGTCTAAACAAACAAGTTGTTATTGGTTGAATAAAAAATGCATAATTTTTTTCAAAAAAATAAATTAATTTTATCACACATTATTACAAAAAATTATAATAATTATTGTTCCTATTTAACTTAAATAAATGCTCCCATCTCAATCAAAAGTAAAAGATGTTTTAAGAAATAAGAAAAAGAGAAGGAAAAGAACAAGAAAAAGGCCGAGACACAGTGCCATCAAGTGGGCACAATTCCTGCTCGGCTAATACGGCTTGGCTTGTAGTTAGAAAAATGGCTTATGAACAGTAGTTAGAAACCCACTCTTTTATATGTAGTTAGATTAGGCCCCTGTTTGATATACATTAAAATTTTCATTCTCATTTTTCTACTCATTTTCAACCATACATTCTTCAATCAACTAATATTTTCCATCACATCAATAACTTTTCCTTCTTTTTCAACCACAAATTCTCCATCAATCTACTATTCCAGAATACATTCTTCCAAAATAATGTGGATCAAACACACGATGTATATGTATGATAGGATGTAGGATGTAGGATACAATTGGTTTCCTCTCCTTTGTTTTTTTTCAAACAGTGCCTTGAGGAGGGAAAGGATGTAAATAGACGAATTTTCCCTTGGTTTTATTGGTTTTTGGTGCTCTTTACAGGTTTTAATGCCTAAACTAAAGGATTTAGATGATAGGGGGTATTTCACAATGTTTGGGCAATCTAGTGGAGTCTTACATCAAAATGAAACGTTTGGGGGTATTTCTCAAAATAGGCTAACATTAGGGGGCAAAAGGCGTAAATGAAAATATTTTAATCCCAATTGTTTGTGTGATTCAACAAGTATACAAATTGTGACAAATAATAACAATGTATGTTTGAGTCAAAATATCATTCTCATATAAACTAAGTACTTACTATCAATTTTTATTCTAATTGGACTTTAGTCTAAATTAATGTGGTAATCTGCAAATAAATAAAATTATATAACAAAATTAAGACTCAAATGAATTAGGTACATCTCAATTTTATACTACCACTTAATAATGCTTGCAAATATCTTTAGTAGTGATATTTGATGATATCGATTTTTGGCAGTTGATAATAATAATTTTGAATATATGTATTTGAACATATATTCAAAATTATTTATTTTTCATCAATTAGAAGTTAGAAATAGTAAATCAATGATTAAATAATAGTCTCTAAAGGAAACGGTCATCCGAAATCATAAATCCATTCTATTATTTGTTCACGATATTATACGTTTGCAATGGAAATAAGGCAACAGTAAGCTTCTACTCATGATTCTGAGACATGAGGTGAAATGAGCTTTGCTGGATGAGCTTGTACATTAGGTAGCAACATCGTCATGCTTATCCTTAGCTTAGCTGATATATCCTTAAGATGAGCTAATTTAGATTAAACCAACTAAAATTAAAATAATTAGGAAGAAACAAAATTCACCTTGCCTTATAGTGACCATATTTAGGGGCGGAGCCAGAAATGATGTCAGGATGAGCTGAAACTTAAAAATTTTCAAACGAACTCATGTCAAAAGAAATCGAGTTTTGGAGGCTATTCTCGTNTATATATATACAGAAATGATCTAATGAGCACCGGTGCTCATCTTATCCTAAGCACCGATGAGTTGGCACATTAATTCATTGGTGGATAAAGATTTTGTGAGTTCCAATCCACCAATGAATTAATGTGCCAACTTATCGGTGTTTAGGATAAGATGAGCACCGGTGCTCATTAGATCAAATAGAAACTTTATATATACGGAACTCAATGAAATAAAAAAAGTTTAGATATCTCACATTAAGATATTCCACTAAATCTTTGTATTTTTATTTTTTATTTTTTTACCAAATAGAAAATTGATGCTTCCCTTAAAAAATACAAATTGACGGAATCATGATAGAAATAAGCAAAATACAAATCCACCAATGAAAATTTTAAAAATTACATAACGAGTACTTTTCTAGTACCTTTGAGGGCCAATCTTTCCAAACAACTGAAAGCTTGATCGAGACACGCGGTCGATAATATATTACTATAATCCATATGTTATTGTCTCGAAATATTATTTGGTGTGTTTATTGACCTTTTATATCATCACATTTCAAAGTGAGTGAAAA